AGGAGCTCCCTCCCCTCAGTAAACCTCCTCCCTTTATAATGACCAGGCATTATGGGATGGGTTACCCCTGTAGCTAACTCAGGTCAGCTGCCCTGGCTGGCTTGAAACTGCTAATGGCTGACCTATGATTGTAACCCAGCCAAACCAGGACAGCATTCCACCCCTTAGCCCATACTATTTATGTCATGTCCACATCACTAATATTCTTTCCATTTTTCAATACATATATACACGTATATATACACAGTTACTAGTCTTCTGTTCATAGGTTATTTGTCAAAAAGCTTCACTGAATTTGTCTGGTCCAATGGATTCCATCTATCACAGCAGTCTCTCAGGGCAGGAAAAGATGGTACAAACTTCATCATGTTCATGCCCACAGGCTGTCAGTCCATCTCAAGGAAGTTGTTGGACAACACTCAACTAGGCTAGCTCCAGTCATCACCATTCTGTTATCCTGAAAGACAGCTGTTGGGTTCAAGGAAGTGTGATATAATCAATCTGCCAGGCCTCTCCGAATTCATGCTTCGACCATCATCCTTCATAGCACAAATGTTTTAACCGTTTAGCTTACTTGATTGTGGCACATGTTTCACAGTCGTGGATAACCTGTGCGATAGCTTCCACAGTTAAATCCACCCCTTGGTCACGAGCCCACTTCTACGTCGCATCTCCTCCTTGGTGATCTGAGGTGTCATGGCCACCAGGCTAGAAACAGTTCGCCCTTATGTTCCCAGTCTAGATCTGTTTGGAACACTTCTGCAGCCTGATCCTCTCCCTGGTTCTTCAGTTGCCCAGCTTTTAGGTACATGCGTATCTACATGGCACACCTTTATGACTAGTTTCTCCAGCTGGGCAGCAATATCTTGCCACAATGCAGCAGCCCAGATTGGTTTACCTTCGCACTGCCAGTTATTCTGCTTCCACTGTTTCAACCATCCCCACAAGGCATTAGCTACCACCCATGAGTCAGTATGGAGGTAGAGTACTGGCCACTTTTCTCGTTCAGCAATGTCCAAGGCCAGCTGGACAGCTTTTACCTCAGCAAACTGACTCAATTCACCTTCTCCTCAGTTGCTTCTGCGACTCATCATGTGGGACTCCACACAGGAGTCTTCCACTTCTGACAATTTCCTGCAAGGCAGCACGATCCATCAGAAAACAGGGCATATTGTTTTTCATCCTCTGATAGCTGATTATATGGTAGGGCTTTGGCAGCGCATGTCACCGCTTCTTCTGGTGGCCTGATAAAGTCTTTGCCTTCTGGCCAGTCAGTGATCACTTCTAAGATTCCACAACAATTGGGATTTCCTATGCGGGCCCGCCATGTGAGTAAGGGAATCCATTTACTCCAGGTAGCATTGGTGGCATGATGAATGGAACCTTACTCTTGAACATCCAGCTCAGCATCGGCAGTCATGGCGCCAGGAGGAGCTGTGCTTCAGTCCCAATCACTTCTGGAGCAGCTCTAACTCCTTCATACGCTGCCAATATTTCTTTTTCAGCTGGAATATAGTTGGCCTCTAAGCCTTTGCAGCCTCGACTGCAGCATCCTAGGGGTCAATCTCAAGTCTCCCCTGGTGCTTTCTGCCACAAGCTCCAGGTACGACCATTATCCCCAGCTGCAGTACAGAGTATATTTTTAATGTCCTGTCCTGTTCGGACTGGACCAAGGGATACAGCCTGCACAATTTCTTGTTCTGCTCAAAGGCCTGTTGTTGTTCAGGGCCCCAATCAAAGCTTCTTCTCTTCAGAGTCACTTCATACAGAGGTTTCACAATCTGACTGTAACCAGAATATGCCTTTGCCAGAAACCCACAATGCCTGGGAACACTTGTGTCTCCTTTTTGTTCTTTGGTGGAGACATGGCTGTTATTTTGTTGATCACATCCATCAGGATCCGGAGATGCCCATCTTGCCATTTGAATCCCAAAAACTGGATCTCCTGTGCAGGTCCCTTGACCTTGCCTCTTTTAATGGTGCAACCAGCTTCTAAAAGAATATGAATTATTTTCTCCCCTTTCTCAAAAAACTTCTTCTGCTGTGTTACCTTATACAATGACGTCATCGATGTATTGCAGATGCGCAGGAGCTCCACCCTTTTCCAGTGCAGACTGTACCAGTCCATGGCAAATTGTGGGACTGTCTCCACCTCTGGGGCAATCGATTCCAAGTATACCGGACACCCCTCCACATGAAAGCAAACTGCAGCCTGCACTCCATCACCAATGGAATAGAGAAAATTGCATTGGCAATACCAACAGTGGTGTACCACTTGGCTGCCTTCGACTCCAGTTCACACTGAGTGTTCTAAAACGTCTAGCACGGCAGCACTCAGCAGTTGCATTACTTCATTCAGGCCATGATAGTCCCCTGTCAGTCTCCACTCGTCACTGGATTTCTGCAATGGCCATATAGGACTGTTAAAGGTCATGCCTTGCTGATCACACCTTGGTTCTCCAATTGACGGATGAGCTCATGGATGGGGATCAGGGAGTCTCTATTAGTATGGTGTTGTCGCCGGCGAACTGTTGTAGTGGTGATGGGCACTTTTTGTTCCTCGACCCTCAGCAGCCCCACAACAGAAGGGTCATCTGATAAACCGGGCAAGGCAGATAGTGGTTTAATTTCCTGTCTCCACCATCGCTACACCAAACACCCATCTGTACCCTTCTGGGTCCTTGAAGTACCCTCTCTTGAGATAATCTACTCCCAAAATACATGGGGCATCTGGGCTAGTCACAATAGGATGCATCTTCCAGTCACGTCCAGTCAGACTAGTATCTGCTTCTACTGTTGTCAATTCCTGTGAACCTCCAGTTACTCCAGAGATATAAATGGAGTCTGTTCCTTGGTAATTCGATGGTATCAAGGTGCATTGTGCCCCAGTATCAACTAATGCCTCATATTTCTGTGGTTCTGATGTGCCAGGCCATCGAACCCACACAGTTCAATAGACATGGTTGTCCCTGTCCTCCCCCTGGCTGGAGGCAGGGCCTCTCTACTTCTGAGCAGAGTGTCCATCATCAGCATTTGTACGTGAGCAGCTTGCATGGATCACCCTCTCGTCACCATTACTTGTATGTCTCAAATTAGGATCTGAGGCCCACCCATGTCATCTGGGGGTCTGCTCTCTGGAAACTGGCACAGCACTCCTCCTGACAGGGCCCCTTTTTCTGGTATTTTTACCTTTTAACTCATTGACTCATGCCTGTAGTACTGCAGCAGGTTTTCCATCACACCTTCTCATGTCTTCTCCATGGTTCCACAAGAACAACCACACGGTGCCTCATGAGGTTTGTTGCTTCTCCTCAGGCCTCACGGTAAGATTCCTTCTCCTGACAGCCGAAACAGGCGTTGGTTCGGATAGAGCGTGGACTTTATCCTCTAGGCGGGACAATCTTTCCAACACTTTACCAAGCAATTCTGTGGATTTCTCCAATGTCTGTTCAACAGTAGAGATATCAGCACGTGGGGAGGCAGTGAGGTTATCGGCATACTGTTGCAACCTGTCATCCGTTTCACCCACAGTTGGTGCCTCGTCATGTCTCCATTGCTAAATAATGCCAGTGTGTTGGCACATGAAGGTGGCACGCTCAGGACCCCCTTGCGCCACGTGGGTCCAGTAAGCTTAAGTTCATATGGGTCTACCGGTGACTGTGGGTCATACAGGTCAGAAAGTATGATCACCCACACAGCTATTTCTCTCAAGTAACTCATGCCCTTCTCAATGGTCGTCCACTTGCTTAGTCAGTACACAACATCATCTCTAAAGGGATACCTGTTGTGTACACTGAACAGGTGTCGCCTCCAGAGAGAGAGGATCTGCCACTCTTCCAAGGCCTCTGTCAATACCAGTTTCCTTTGCCATTAGTCCCAGCTGTTTAGCCTCTCTACCATTCAAGTCTACACCATTAGCGCCATTATCACAGCATCAGAGCAGCCAGGTAACAAGCGGCTCTCCGTCATGCCGACCATAATCCTCGCAGCTATCTCTCGTCTCACCCAAAGTTAGGGATCGTGTTGTCATCTGTTCAAGATGTTCCTGCAGGACCTGCTATATTGTTATACTTAGTTTTTTCTACCGGGGCAATTGGCACTGATCGAATACCTAGGTCTGCTGCATCACCTGTCACTGCGGGCTGAGTAGTTGCACTGCACCCTCCTTTATACCAGTACTTTTCTCTAAGGAGAAGGATATTAAAAAGAACTGATAATATGAATACGGTATCAGAAATATCGCACGGGTATTGCCACTTATTCTTGCCCATTACAAGTTCATGGAGATGAGAAACTGGTGTAATTACAAAATAATTTATAATGCCATAATCGACTGCCGGAGTACTCAGCAGAGCAGCACTTTTACCCGTATGCCCAGAAGTGACCAGCGTCAAAAAGCCAATAACAAGCATTGGTAAAGCCATGCAAAGCTGCACAAGCAACTCCAGGATCAAGAAGTCCACCAAGTGCAAACACCAACATAGTGACTGATTCCATCAAAATCTGCTGAAATTTCAGCTCTTGTAAGGGTTTACAACTCTTCTGGGTAAGCTATTCAAGTTGTTTCCCAAACAAACTCTGGGCACCAAACAGACTGTCTATGTTTAGGCTGTACCCAGGGCTAAACTGTAACAGTTGGTCTATCACCCAATGGACCCTCAACGGCCAGGGAGGCGAATCCGGAAAAAAAGAGAGAAGCCCCATAGGTAAAAGTACAACAGATTTAATGAAAACATCACCAGTACAAACAGAAAAATACTTAGCCAAATGAACATGCTGTTGTCAGGATCTACTGCAGAGCAGTCCTCAGCAAAAGCCAGAGGAGAAGCAGGAGGAACCCCAGCAAGAATCCCACAGAAGCTCCCTCTCTTCAGTAAACCTCCTCCCTTTATAATGACCATGACATTATAGGATGGGTTACCCCTGTAGCTAACTTAGGTCAGCTGCCCTGGCTGGCTTGAAACTGCTTATGGCTGGCCTATGACTCTATCCCAGCCAAACCAGGACACTGGTGATGCTCCAACTTTAATGCAGAGGCAGTGCCTGCTACTTCAGCAGCAACCTATTACTACACAGAAAGTACAGTGTCAGTTGCAAAGATATGGTAATTGATAAATATTGTGAAATTTTCTTAACAAAATAACCATTATTTTGCCATACAGTAGAGATAAAATATTAACACATCAAAATTCACTTCTGATAAAGAGGCATGAACAATGTTCAGAAAATATTGCTGACACTTTTTTGATAAATAGTACCCTTGGTCATAATCCTATTTTAATGTCATTGCTTTGTACTCTAGTTTCCCTGTAGTTTTACTGAAACCACTCCATTTATGTATTTTCTACTTAGCAACAAGATACCACATCTGCATCATAATTTTAATTTAACTGCTGATACTCCTACATTTTTTTCCTCTGTTCCTCTAAACATTTACTGGAACCAGCCTTCAATGGAACAGCCACCCAGCTTGCTCTATACCATTCTAAACAGACAAATGGTAATAAAAAGAATCAGTGCCACAAAAAGGCAAATATCCAAAAAATTGTAAGGGATATTTTAACTTAACTTTAACTTAAGAGGTGGGGTTTTTTTTTGCATTTCCTCAAAGAACATTTTCAATGCCAAGTCAGCTTACTAATTTAGCAAAGCACACAGACACAGCATAAAACATCTACTCTTCTAGAAAGCATCATGAAAACAAATCATAAAAGTTTAATCAGATAGGTACTTAATTCCAGGAAATTCTAGTAACATCTCAGATCTGATTTTTAAATATATATAACTACCGTAATTATTGTTCCTTCAAGACATTTTATATTAAAGACCAGAGTGCCTAAGGTTTTATTTTTAAGCTTCTGTTTATCTATTCATTCATCTCTAAAATAGGTGAATTCTACTTTTGCTGAAATTTTCATATAAACCTTTGATCTTATTCTGAAAGTATAAACGTCTAGGGGAAGTAGGGATCGACTATGCTGATTAAACAAAGACAATGCCAAAGCATTTAAGGCACTGCAGGTATCTGTCTGCCAACATATTTTCCACATGATGCACATACATTACTTTCATTAGTATTCCATAAGCAACTGAGGGGATAAAAGACCTCAGTGTTCACAGAATACTTTAAACCCTTTTACATGCATAAGAAAGGGACACATTTACAAACAATTAACTGACAAAGTATTCCTGATGAACTGCAGGTTCCTTTGAAGTATCAATCTTGCCAGTTCATTTCTGTTTCATTTAAACTGGTAAAATACATCCTAGAATATTCATGGAATACAGTAAAAGAAATCTAATTTTTCTTATTTAAAAAAAAAAAAAAAAAAGTAGGTGACCATTTCTTGAAAGCCAGCAATTATTAGCTTAAAATAAAACTCAACCAGTTATTACTCCAAGGAGATTCTTACCCTTTTGCAAAAGAAAGCCTCTACACACAAGGTTTGGCAGGTATATTTTAA